AGAGTTTCACTCTTGTTGCCAAGGCTGGAATGCAGTAGCACGACCTCAGCTCACTGCAACCTCAGCCTCCCAGGTTCAAGCAATTCTTCTGCCTCAGCCTCCCAAGTAGCTGGGGACTACAGGCATGGACCACCACACCTGGCTAATGTTTGTTTTTATTTTTAGTAGAGATGGGATTTCACCATGTTGGCCAGGCTGGTCTCAAACTCCTGACCTCAGGGGATCCTGCTGTCTTGGCCTCCCAGAGTGCTGGGATTACAGGCGTGAGCCACCACGCTTGGCCTGGATTCAAAATTTTTAAAGATTGATTCTGGACTCAAATTGAAAAACAGGATCTTTCTAAAAGGTAAAAACTGATACTAAGTTATTTACTACAACTTTTTCTTTCTGTTTTTTTGAGATGGGGTCTCACTCTGTCACCAGGGCTAAAGTCTGGAGCACAGTGGCATCATCTCAGCTCAAGCAATCCTCCCACTTAAGCCTCCAGAGTGGCTGGGACCACAGGGGCACGCCACCACGCTTGGCTAATTTTTATATTTTTAGTGAAGGGTGGTTTCACCATGTTGCCCAGGGTGATCTCAAACTCCTGGCCTCATGGGATCTGCCCACCTCCGCCTCCCAAAGCGCTGGGATTACAGGTGTAAGACACTGTGCCCAGCCACTTACTATAGCCTTATGCCAAATTTACCTAAGAAGTTCAATTTAAGTCCCCTAAATCTTTAAAATGCCTGCAACAATAAAGAAATGCAGGTACTTATGCATTCTAGGTCCTATATACATCTTCTGGTCTTGCCTTCATATATTAGGGCCTGTGTGTTTTTCAAGTTTTCTGTTTGATATAATGTATCTCATTGCATAACAGTCCTTCTTTCCTAGGAACTAACCATTACTGTCTCCTACCACAAGAAAATCACTGAGCTTCATTTTTAAAAAGTTCCCACCAGGACTGGCTCACACCTGTAATCCTAGTGCTTTGCGAGCCTGAGGCAGGAGGATGTTTGAGGCCAGGATTCAAGTGACCAGCCTGGGCAACACAGTGAGAACCTGTTTCTACATAAGAGTTTTTTTTTTTTAATTAGCTGGGTATGGTAGTATGCACGTGTAGTCTCAGCTACTTGGGAGGCTGAGGTGGGAGGACTGCTGAGCCCAGGAGTTCCAGGCTTCAGTGAGCCATGATGGCGTCACTGCTTTCCACCCTAGGTGACAGAGCAAGGCCCTGTCCCAGAAAAAATAAAATAAAATAATTCCCTTTCCTTATCCTCAGAAACATCAAACAGCAATAGCATTTCTATCTTTGTGAGACGAGTAAATCACCTGATAACAAAAGAGGGTATAGTTCCACATTTCACATATGCATATGAGGATACCATGTTCATAACAAATAACAGATTTCAAATGAAAATTAAGGCTGTATATTTCATAAGGAAAGCTTTACGACATTAAGGTGATCCAAATTTTAGTGGTCACAACACACATCACCCTTACAAAAATGAGAGAATACATTTGATTCTATAATCAAACTTCATATATTCTTTCTTCTGTCATTTTCGTCCCTCAAGCAACCACGTAGCTGAGAGAAAACTGGACGTACCCGAGGAGTGTATCATTAGCGCAAGTCTCTTGAGATGCCTTGTCGATCGGTAGATCAAGTTATAGCCTCGGTTTCTGACTTTGCTGTGGTGGTACTGGATGTAGCATTCAAGGAGTAAATGGAGAATCCACAAAATAACTTTCCCAAGGATTATGACCGTCTGAACTTTCAGTGGGTTTGTGTAATTTCCTGGGCACTTGTCCTCATTTGGATTAGGATAAGAACAAAGCACACCTGTCAAAAATGCTAAAATAACAAACACAAGCTGGGGGAAAGGAGAGCAGCAGGATTAATGTTCAATATTTGGAATTAGGAAGCAATAACCACCATCCCAGCATATACTCTTATACCTATAGCTTCCACTATCCTATTTTTATAAATGAGTTTTTAAATGTATTTTTGATTTGTTTTGTTTAAATGTACTTTTGTTTTTTGTGTGAGATACGGTCTTGCCCTGTTGCCCAGGCTGGAGTGCAGTGGTGTGATCTCGGCTCACTGCAGCCTCAACCTCCTGGGCTCAAGCGATCCTCCTACCTCGGTCTCTAGAGCAGCTGGGACTACAGGCCCGTGGCTCCACACCTGGTCAATTTTTAAAAAGTTTTTATAGAGATGGGTTCTTGCTATGGTACCCAGGCTGGGACAGAGTATGTCATACAAAAAGTTAAAGGAAAGACAAAAAGGAGGCCACCATCTGAAAACCACAAGGCCACCCCTGCACATGGTGGTACTGAGAAGGAAGTGCTTGAGCTGAGATCTGGGGATTGGGAAGCCACGGTGGAGCCATGCCACAGCTACTAGTTCCCTCAAGGAAAGGGGATACCACCTCTCTCCCCAGTGATTCCGTTCCAAACTCATCTCCCACAGTACACCTCACTGAAGAGGAATCTCAGCTGCAGGGGAACCCGGGAAATGTGCTGGGGCATACGGCCCTCAGTCTTCATTTCAGAGGCAACAAGTGTTAACAAGTGTTAACCAGGTCTGTGAATGCTTTTAGAAATAGTCTATTATTATTATTATTATTTTTGTGACACAGTTTCACTCGTTGCCAGGCTGGAGTGCAATAGTGTGATCTCGGCTCACCACAACCTCCACCTCCCAGGTTCAAGTGAAGATTATGGGATTACAGGCATGTGCCACCATGCTCTGCTAACTTTTTGTAGTTTTGGTAGAGACGGGGTTTCTTCAAGTTGGTCAGGCTGATCTTGAACTTCAGACCTCAGGTGATCCGCCCGCCTCAGCCTCCCAAAGTGTTGGGATTACAGGTGTGAGCCACCGAGCCTGTCCTTAGAAATATTCTATTATATACAGGACTACAGGTGCTCACCAGCCCTCTCAACTCCCTTTTAAAAACTGCAAATAGGGGCTGAGTGTGAATGGGCACACAGTGTCCTCTGGATAGCAAGTAGTTTGTAGTAGACAACACTGCTATTATCAGCAATATTCTTACATGTGTGCAAATATATCCACGATGAATTCTTTGAGGATATAAGTAAAAATGTATGTACTTTGTTTCTGCCCATGACACAGCTGTCAGGATATCCTAAGGACATCTGTCCTACATTTTACTGGTGGGCTTTTTTTTTGAGACAGAGTCTTGCTCTCTCACCAGAGCTGGAGTGCAGTGGCGCGATCTTGGCTCACTGCAACCTCTGCCTCCCAGGTTCAAGCAATTTTCCTGCCTCAGCCTCCAGAGTAGTTGGGTCTACAGGCGTGCACCACCAGGCCCAGCTAATTTTTTTTGTATTTTAGTAGAGACAGGGTTCACCATGTTGGCCACGATGGTCTCGATCTCCGGACCTTGTGATCCAACTACCTCGGCCTCCCAAAGTGCTGGGATTACAGGCGTGAGCCACCGCACCCGGCCATGTACCCTACATTTTAAATGTTGCTAGACACAGCACAACTGCCCTCTGAAACACTTATATATTTTTTATAAACATCACCTCTGGATAGGCCCCCTTCATCCAGCCAACTTACATGAATAAACCACAGAAGATTCACTATGATGACTGTAGGAAGAGGATGGAATTGGGGTCTAAAGTGAGCTTGTAGTGAGTGATGTGGGAGAAGCTGGGCATCCAGAAGTGGGTCGTCTTCAATACTCTGGGTGATATCCAAGGAACCCTGGGGTACAGAAAAACGAAAGCAAGCTATAATCGCCACTTTCTGGATTATGTTTCTAAGACCAATCTACTAAACCATAAAGCTTTTTAACCATATACAAATTAAAGGCAAGAAAACACATTCCCTACCTAAAGACAATTTTTAAAAATTAATTAATTTTTTAAAAATTGTAGAGACAGGGTCTCGCTATGTTGCCCAGGCTGGTCTTTTTTGTTTGTGTTTTGTTTTTTGTTTGTCTTTGAGACACAGTCTTGTTCTGTTGCCAAGGCTGGAGTGTAATGGTGCAATCTCGGCTCACTGCAATCTCCATCTCCCAGGTTCAAGCGATTCTCTTGAGTAGCTGGGACTACAAGCATGTGCCACCACATCCAGCTAATTTATTTTTATTTTTAGTAAAGATGGGTTTTCAATATGTTGGCCAGGCTGATCTCAAACTCCTGACCTCAGGTGATCCACCCGCCTCAGCCTCTCAAAGTGGTGGGATTACAGGCGTGAGCCACCGCGCCTGGCTCCAGGCTGGTCTTGAACTCTTGGCACCAAGTGATCCTTCTGTCTAGGCCTCCCATATTGCTGGGATTACAGATGTGAACCACCACACTCAGTCTAAAGCCAATTAAAAAAATATACTCACCTATGAATAACTACTATGTATATCTTGGGAAAACAAGTTTTTAAATGGGTAGAGGAGATCTTAAATTAATTATATCTACATCTCTCTTTTTTTAAATTAGAGAGAGTTTCTGGCATCTGGCGACAGAACGGGACTAACAAGACTTTGTCTCAAAAAAAACAAAAAACATACATATTGATTTATTTAACATTACTTATATTGTTGAAATAATTACATACAGTTGCAAATTTTTTTTTTTTTTTTGAGACAGAGTTTCACTCTTGTTGCCCAGGCTGGAGTGCAATGGTGTGATCTCGGCTCACCACAACCTCTGCCCGCCCTGGGTTCAAGCAATTCTCCTGCCTCAGCCTCCTTAGTAGCTGGGATTACAGGCATGTACCACCATACCTGGCTACTTTTTGTGTTTCTTTCTTTCTTTCCTGTCCTTTCTTTCTTTCTCTTTTTTTCTCTCTCTCTCTTTCTTTCTTTTCTCTTTTCTTTTTTTCTTTTTTATTCTTCCTCTCTCCTGAGGGATACTTTTTGTATTTTTAGTAGAGACGAGGTTTCTCCATGCTGGTCAGGCTGGTCTCAAACTCCCAACCTCAGGTGATATGTGGCACCATCTCAGCTCACTCCAAGTGATTCTCCTGCCTCAGCCTCCTAAGTAGCTAGGATTACAGGCACCCGCCACCATGCTCAGCTAATTTTTTGTATTTTTAGTAGAGACAGGGTTTCACCATGTTGGCCAGGCTAGTCTTGAATTCCTGACCTCATGTGATCCCCCTGCCTCGGCCTCCCAAAGTGCTGGGATTACAGGCATGAGCCACCACACCTGGCCCAGCTGCAATTTTTAAAATAAAGTTTTATTTAAACTGGTTATTCTAGTTAGGAAAAAAAAAAGATTTATGATATATACTTAAGATATATAACACATTACTGGACATATACAGATAGTAAAAAGGTTACTATAGCGGAGCAAATTAACACATCCAACATCTCACACAGTAATCCACTATTTGTGTTTGTGGCAGCAGCACCTAAAATCTACTCATTTAGCATGGATCCCACACACAGTACAATTTTATTCCCTATAGTCCTCGTGTTGTATGTAACTCCAGTAGACTTGTCCATCCTCTGTATCTGCTGCTTTGTATTCTCTGACCTACATCTCCCCATTTCTTTCCTGGGTCTGCTGCCCTAGAGTTGCAGTTCTTAAATTGTCTCTGGAGGTTTCACAAAATTTTTAAAAGCTGACAGAGGCTTTATTAAGAGTTCTTAAAACAAACTTTCCATTATGATAGAAATACTTTAGTGTACTAATGGAAACAGATGACCCGGATTGGCCCTTGAGAAAACTTCAGTTTGTAGATACCAGATTCTCTGTCTTTTTTTTTTTAAGATGGGGTTTCACAAGTTGGTCAGACTGGTCTTGAACCCCTTACCTCGTGATCTGCCAGCCTCACCCTCCCAAAGTGCTGGGATTACAGGCATGAGCCACCACGCCTGGCATTGCTACCAGATTCTCAATGAAAGCAACTACAGAGTTGTTGTAACGTCACCAAAGTGGCCAACAAAGACTTAGCATGTGGAGGCTGTCACCTAAACATTTCAGCAAGTCATGTTTAAAGGTACGATTTTGACAGCAACAGTTCTTCCAGGTCTCTACTCCATATAAATGAATCGAAACTATCTCTTAATCTCAGACCCTTACTGTAAACTATTATGTATAATACTTTGCCCAGGGTAAAAGACTATAAGGTGATTAAGTTTTCATTGGGGAGGTAAGACATAAAGACATGAAGGACTAAACAACAATACAAGAATACACAATACAATATAGTGCACAGAGATCTGATGACAGTATAGCAATTATAGTTAACAATTCTACATTGTAAGGCCAGGAGCAGTGGCTTATGCCTGTAATCTCAGCACTTTGGGAGGCCAAAGTGAGCAGATTACTTGAAGTCAGGAGTTCGAGACCAGCCTTGCCAACATGGTGAAACATCGTCTCTACTAAAAATATAACAAATTAGCCAGGCATGGTGGCATGCACCTGGTAATCCCAGCTACCTAGGAGGCTAAGGCAGGAGAATCGCTTGGACCCAGTAGGCAGAGGTTGTAGTGAGCCGAGATTGCACCACTGCACTCCAGCCTGGGCGACAGAGCAAGACTCAGTCTCAAAGAAAAAGAAATATATATATATCTATTTACACTTTTAAGTACACTCTTAACAAATTAAAGGTATATACAGTGCAGTATTGCAATATACTGCACTGTATATACCTTTAATTTGTTAAAAGTGTAGATCTTAAGTGTTCCCATCACATGTTAAAAAAAGGAAAAAGAATATGGTGCATGGGAAGTACATAATAAGTCAGCAAAGGAAAAGCGCAAAGGACAATGCAAAAAAATTAGGTTAGCTAATTACACTATGATGAGATGGAAATGAAGCATTCATAAATAGGATTTGGCTACACAGAATGAGAGCTCTTCATTTTGGAAGAAGTAGGGACTAGGACAAATGATGTTAAGGGATGGCTGTTGAGTGCTAAGATAACAAACGTAAATACATTAATCTGGGGTGTAACCCAGCTCTGGGGTGCTGGAGTGGGCTCCTCAATTTCCAGTCGAAGGCATGCAACACTGCTCTGTACCTACTTTTTGTTTGTTTGTTTTTGAGATGGAGTCTTGCTATGACCAAAGGCAATAAGAGCTGTGGTTAAGGGCAGGCTCCTAAGGGCAGACTGCCTGGATTCCAGCACAAGTTTCACTGCTTTCTAGCTGAGAGCAAGTTACTTCACCTCTCATGCCTCACTTTTCACATATAAAAAGGAGACTAATAATAGCACCTGTTTCATAGCTCTGTCAGGAATGTTAAATGAGTTACTACATATGCAAGTGCTCATAACACTGTCTGACACAGGAAAATCACTCACTAAGTATTAGCCACTATTATCTCTTTATTAACTGTTTTTTTTTTTTTTTTTTAAACACATTTTTT